CCCAATCTCCCGCTGGGTCCCGGCGTTCGTGTTTCGCAGGTAGTATCTTGTGGCACATAGACTGTGATGGAGCGGCAAAATACAGCAGAAATGCAAATTGAAAGAGTGAACAGCAAACGAGTAGTCATGGCATAATTGCCCAAAGTTAGGGCTATGTCAAACGACGCAAAGGAAAGAGATGGACATCCAAACCTACCTTAACAACCATAAGTACGCGATAATGGTCATGGGCTGGCTGTTCATGATCAGCAGAGGAATTGGATGAGCACGGCGCTAAGTGCTTTAGTGGCCAACAAAGGGAATGCCAGCCTCATGCGTGCATTTAAGGCCAGGACTTCTCTGGTCTCAGATTGGACACGATCGGATCACGCAGCAGGAAAGTCAGCAAATTGTGGTCTAGGTCAGGTCGTGCGACATGGCGATTATGCGGGAAGCACAAGCGCTGATTGGGCTGTCCGAGCTGCAGTGTTGTCCAGATTGATAGCCCGGCATATTGCACAAGACATGCATTGAGGATGCTCTCCTTTCTGGAAAGCAAGCGGAATTGCAGGCGCAAGACGGGTGCCGTTCCAAGGTCATAAAAGCTGAAGGATCCAGTTTCGTACTCCAAGCTCGGTGCCGCTGGCCGCTATGTTCTCCTGAAGTGCAAAAAGACATCGAAGTCTGGTGGGAATCGAAGTAGAGTGCATGGCTTTGCTACAAAGGGCCAATCAATTGATATCCTTTGCCGCCTGGGATAAGGTCGTGCGGGCGGGCACGGGACCCTTTACTTGCAAGTGGAGGCGGCGTTGACGTGCGGACAATGTAGTACAAGACTGTAGGCGTGACTTTGTTTCAATAATCGTGAATTGCAGCGTACCAGCGCTTGTCGAAATTTCTTCTCGTTGCACAAACGAGAGCAATGCATCCGGGGATTTTGAAGTTCGTTGCGTTGACCTTTTCGACCCGCGGGGAAAAACGGGCCAGAGTTAGCAAGCGAGACAGGGAACGAGTTTCAGTGGAGAAGGTGTGAAGCAGGCTCGAGCGGAACCGCAAACTATCGGCCCGAAAAGGACTTAGCCTATATGCAAGGCCACGCGCCTCATAATGAGCGGCCAACCAGCTGTAGCAAAGCAGTTAGCAAACGGTGCATCAGCTGAGAAGCAGTCCCTGCGCGTCAAACTGGACTGACCCATGAGTAAAAGGTGGCCTACAGCGCTGACCGCCGTTCATCATGAGCTTCCCTAAACCCTCCACGACCGTTTCGTCCTCTTGCTCTCGCTCTACTTGCACTCGAAGAGCCATTGCACCATCGTGTGGGGCCATTTCAGACATATTCTCCAACATGACAGTCGCCCAAGAACCTTCGTCGTCCACCGGCAGCAAGACTCTGCTTCAGAAATACTATGCCACTTGGGAATCTAAGATTGGATATAAACTCGTCCTTGGAGACGCCCGGCATTTTGGTTTCTACGACCATGACACCTGGTGGCCATTTCCAGTTGGTCGGAGGCTGAGGGCAATGGAAGAGCGCGTCTTCAAGAAACTAGACCTGCCTGCGGGCTCGAAAGTTCTCGATGCAGGATGCGGCGCTGGCTTGGTAGCAATCCATATGGCCAGGAGAGGTCTAAAGGTGCAAGCCGTAGACCTGGTCGATCGACACGTCCGGCTCGCGTCCCGCAACGTCCAAAAAGCAGGCCTGCAGAGCCAGATCAAAGCTGAGAAGAGCAGCTATCAAGACCTGGCATATTCTGACGGCGCATTTGACGGGATATACACGGTGGAAACCTTTGTACATGCCACCGACCCCGAGGTGGCTGCGAAAGAGCTTGTACGTGTCATTCGTCCTGGAGGTCGTTTGGCAATGCATGAATACGAATTCAGATCCTTCGACAAAATGAATAGGATACAAGCCAACAAGAAGTATGAAGATTTGGACAAACTCGCAGCTATGCCGGAATTGAGACGATTCCACAGTGGATACATCAAAAGCCTCCTAGAAGATGCCGGAATGGTAGATGTGCAGGTCGAGGATCTCTCGGAAAATATACTCCCAATGCTGAGGTATTTCTTCGTCTTGGCCTTCATTCCGTACTTGATAATCTCCTTTTTGGGATTGCAAGACCATTTCGCCAATACTGTTTATGGATACTTCTTGTACGATGCTAGTGATGAATGGCGATATGTCTCGGTATCTGCTCGGAAACCCGAACTCGGAGAGAGGCGTGTAGACTCTCCACGTACTTGAGGTCTTCCGGATTGGTCTTCTGGCTGTATGGATTCGAGTTTCATCGTTAAAGAGTGGCTGGGTATTACCACATCTCATCCAGGACACGGGTCCAAGGTATGATAGATGCATAAAGATCTTGTGAGGTACAAAGAATTCAACATGACTGTATTGGTTGTAGCTGCGTCTGTCTCTTCTTTACCTTCCAGCGAGATGTCAAACTTGGTCGCTTTTGTGCTTGATGCAAGCGGATAGACCTGTCACCTTCGGGCCGCATATTCATGCGACTGGCAGGATGTGGGTCGTGCGTAAGTGGTTCATTCGAACTGCTGAGGGTATCACAAACAGGCTGATCTCAGTCATGTAAGAATCAAGCGCCGCCGGCAGATTCTAGTAGCTAGTCATGGATGAATGGAGAACGAGGGTATGGAGCGAGGAGAAGGGCCGAAGACCTTGTGGGCGCTTAAACAAGTGGATATAGGTCGATGCTATTTTGCTAGATTCCCGTTTGGCGCATGGAGAATCTGGGAATTTGCAGGGCATGTTGTAGGCCCTTGCATGGTGTGCTACCGCCTTTGGTCCGCAAGGGGTCGACATAGTCCCAGATCCTCTCCCTCCAGCCCTCGTCAGCCCTGTAGACGCCCATAGTATTTTGATCATGCAAGATCTATCCGTCCTCCGACTACCGCATCGGCAACTCTTACCAATTAGAGCAATTTCTATGGCTGCTTTCTTCATAATGGAAGTGGTGCAGACCGTCATGCATGATTCTGCAGTCGGCGCCATCCGTCGAAGGTTCGGTCGTACAAGCGCGCGCCAACGACTCGAACTCACGCCAGGAACGTTTCCCTTCATGTTGCATCTGACGCCGGTCAGGCTGCCCTCCGCGCCTGTTTTGACGGCGACCAATCGTGGTCGGTGATTTTATCGAAGCGCCGGTCTCCAGCACGCGGAACTGCTTCAGAGATGGAATCCTGAGATCTCGGACTCATCAAGTCAAAGCTCCGTCCCAGGTTATAAAAGGTAGGTTACAGGCGACGTGGGTGAGTATCAATTCAGTCCAACACTCTATTCCTCTCAAATCAATCTACTTCCTGATTCGCCTTCCTCAACATTTCCATTACCACTTTCTCCGCCAGCCCAGCTCCTACTCCCTTTACGTTTTCCCCTTGATTGATCTGATCTATCAATTGAAACCGTGGATTGGTGCGTCACATCGTCTTCCAGTTCAACTTCTCATCCGCCTCTCCATACCGCTGGTTCGGTACATCGATCAAATCCATTCATTCAACTACAACAACCACAAGCTATTTCCTAATTCTACTCCATCGCTGCAATATGGCTCAAGCTGCTACAATGGAAAAATACTATTCCCGGCTCGAGACCAGGATCGGTCTCAAGGTTCTATTTGGACGAGCCAGTCATCACGGCTTCTACGAAAAGGGCAAGAAGCTGCCATTTCCCTTGTCGAATGGTCTCCGGGCAATGGAGGAGGTACTGATGGGAAAGCTGGACGTCCAATCCGGGGAGCGAGTCCTTGATGCCGGCTGCGGTGCTGGCGTGGTCGCTGTCAACATGGCTCAGCAAGGTATTAATGTACACGGCGTCGATATTCTCCATCGACAAGTCGAAATCGCTCACAGAAATGCACGCGCAGCAGGCGTCCAGGACAAGGTACACTTCTCCCAGGGCGATTATCAAAGCCTCAAGGCAAAGAATGACACATTCGATGCCGTCTTCGCAATCGAGTCTCTTGTTCATACTCCGAATGCATCGGAATGTATGCACGAATTCTATCGCGTGCTGAAGCCCGGCAAGAAGGTTGTCATTTTCGATGTTGAGCATGGAGGTCTCAAGGAAATGGATCATGAAGTCGCCCAGAGTATCCTTCAGATCAGACACGCCACGGCTGGAAAGTGGCCCGAATTCGGAGACTACCAAGCATGGCTGGAGCAGGCGGGCTTTGTAGACGTCGAGATTGAGGACCTCTCTGAGAACGTAGTTCCCCTAGCTCGATTCCTGCGAACGCTCTCAGCTGTGCCTTACGCCTTTATCAAACCTCTTGGTCTCGTCGATCACTTCCCGAACACCTTCGCTGGTCATAAAATGTACTCTCATCGCGCTCGGAAGGCTTGGAAATATCTTGCCATTACGGCAAGGAAGCCAATGGTCGAAGTCAAGGTTGAAATGTATGGGGCAGACCCGTTCGCGGATCAGAAATACTTCATAGATTAATTTTCGACTTGGTCTTTCGCCGTACTTCTGGCAGGTACCCTCCATGATATGATCAAGATAGTTGTTCCGAATGGCAATTGCTCTTCTTCCAATGATTGGTCGATGCATGCGTTCCCATCTGTCTCGCATACTCTTTTTGATCCGTCTGCCGGAATCGAACGAGCAATTGATCAATAGATTCTGATCGCATGAATCCACTTGATGGATCTCGAACTTCGTCCATCTGTTTCTCCAGCGATGTGAATTCGGCATTCTCGTGGTTGTGGTATCCTGCTAGATTGCTTTGCTGTCGTGGGGCGGCTCGCGCAAGGGCGGAGCGAAGGATTGAGCTCCAAAAGTCTTCGTTGAAGCATTCGAGAACACGAATACATTTACAGTACGGATTGAGGTTACAGAATTTACTCTGTAAGCTTTTGGAGCTACCAGCTTGTGCAAAGACTACATTCCACCCACATTTGACGACGCTCAGCTTCTGGCGACGGGACGGCAGTGCAAATTCAGACAATATATATTATTATAACCTCATGTGCTTCAACAACAAGCAATAGCTTGAAACCAAGGTCTTATGGTCTAGTGGTATGATTCTCGCTTAGGGTTAACCCTGAGTTTACAACTTGCGAGAGGCCCCGCGTTCGAGTCGCGGTAAGACCCATTTCTTTTGCCATCTCCTGGCTCTGCCTCGCAGCGCAGTCAATGAAATATCTTTTGCTGTTTTGATATGAACGTGTGAATGTAACTCAAAATCCTCGAATGTTTTCAGGACGCTACGAGCAATTTACAAGTGGCAAGTCCGGCGAGGTCGGATTTTGCGGGCTCGGCGGATATGACGAAATGGATAGCTTCGGAAATTTCTCCACAGGAACATGCTTGAAGCCTTAGGCAGCCTGGTTATATCAGATTTCACATTTGACATCCACCATTTCCCTAATCGTGAACATTGTCGCCTAGCTTGACAACAAGATCCTTGAGACCCAGAGATCTGAACATCGAATTCTGTGTTGTCCGAAGCCCGTTTGCAGACCTACATCCGCTACACTTGCGCGGCTTGCGCAGCTTCTTTCCCAACGACACGCAGATGGCTGCCAAAGGATTCGAAGTCCGGTCTCTGGTAAGTGGAATCTCTGCAGTCTACGCATCTACAGACTCCAGCGCTCTGCAGGGCGCCCATCCAAAAGACCCAGGCGCTGACTTCAGACAGTACCGATCATTACTCCGACAAAGTCGACAGTTCGCTGCGTACAATTTCAGAGAATATGCTAAGAGACGGACGAGAGATGCATTCAAAGAGCACTCCGCAGTGTCGGATGAGCGAAGGATACAAGAGTTGATGCAAAAGGGTATAAAGGAGCTTCAAATGTTGAAGGTACGCAAAATCTCGCATGTCAATCGAGCACTTTTGTCCAGTTGTGGTGGATTTTGAAATGGCAGAAATTTCGAAGAGATCTTCAACTTGCACTAGTCTCATTACCAAGGGATCCGTTGCGGCGCTCTGGAGTACAATTCGTGAATTCATGGGGTGGTTATTCGTGGCTTGCATACTGCATACGGGCTCAGACACAGTGAAATGGATGTTGTTGCTGACTTCGATCAGCGCCAAACGGTGGTCAGCCAGTTTTTCCAGCTGGACAGATTGGTGGTAGAAGGCGGCAAGACTGGCAAGCAGACGGGCAAGGACGGAGGCATAGTGCGGCAGAAGGATCATGGGTGTGTCCTATATCATCATCTCATGATCGACATACATACTGACAGAAACTTCACAGATGGGATTGATAGCATTTTTAGCACTAGACTGTGGAAGTCCGGAGTTGCATGGCTGATGGGTTCTAGAACCATGGGAACGCGCCGCAGATTACAAGATCCTGGAGAGTGGCAGGACACATAAGACACTGTAGCATAGCTGGGATGTTGATGACGACGTAATTATCACTGTAACTGCCCCCAAAATATCCAATTCCTCTCCCTCACTGGCCTTGTTTCTATCGAGCGGAGTTTGGCCCATCGCCGCAGCGGGTTGATTTTAGCCGAGAAATTGCCGGCGCATTCCAGCGTTCGCGTTCCTGGCACGTCTCGTCGTCCATGCCGCGTCCCATACAGCGCCATCTTGCCATTCGCATTGCTATGTCAATCGCCACTTGATCTACAGCCAGCATACACTGCGTATTGATCTTCAACCAATCGTTATTGTCGAGATCGCCATACAGAGGACTCTATTTCTAGACGGTCGGACGTAATACGCAGTTCGTGCGCAACACACGCAAAAGCAACCAAGTCGGGAACTAATCAATTGCACATGGCGCCGGTAAGCATCTCCATTGCTGGCTTCATTGATTCTTCAATGTGGCTTCCAAGACTTTCTCAATTGAATGGACGCTGCCTGGACCCGCGCTTCTGAGGCTAGTGTGTTTGTCTATCGAGGAGGCCTCTCTCTCAAGCATGAGCGCTCAGCATGTGACGACGAGAGCACTCTTGCGCTTGCAGAGTCTCTCTGAGGCACTCTATTTCGTCTTATCATAATTATTCGAGTCTTTGTTTTTAATTCTCGTAGAATCGAGATCCACGCATAAGGAGGGAGTCCGTTGACTGACATGTTACTAACAGTTTCGTACTTCCGCGCGGACAAATCGCTCTGGCCGCCTGCAAGCTGAAAATGACGTGTTCGAGGGATTGCCTGTACGCCAATGGCGGCAAAGTGAAGGAACCTTTGGTCTCCCGCCACCAGATGTAATCGAGCAGGACAAAGATTTGATTTTCCCGGAACTCCCCATGCCTCGCGACTCACATCTACTGGCGCCATGGACCCAACAACTACTGAGGGAAGCAAGGAAGCCACGCACGGCGAAGCGGAAGGCAGAGCCGGCCGAGGAAGTCAAGGTTGAGGAGGACGAAGATCCAAAGGAGCGCCAAAATCATAGTGGATGGAGTGCAAAGAAGTGGTCACAGATGCCCCGTCAGCTCGAAGAGCCCGAGCCAGAGTATCTAGCAAAGCGTCGCAAGGGTCTCTCGAGCTCTTACAGCGAAGCGCCAGCATTCATTCCTCAGATTGCCACCAGAACAGCCAAAGTCCGGAAATTCGACGCAGCTGGCCAACAAATCGTCTACGAGGTCATTGTCCCCGAAGGACAAGCAATTGAAGGTGAAGTCAAGGATGAGGATATCTCAATGCTGGATGCGCCTTCACTGGCTCCCGGTACCGTTGTTGAGGGAGTTGGTGTGGCAAATTCAGAAGGCCAGGTTGTGGCAAATGACTTATTACAGCCAACGCCACAGCGGCGGAGGAAGCCACCCCCGCCAAAACGCAAAGGCGGCCCAGGCCGGGGTAAGAAGAAAGTCATGTTTCAGCGCCCGCTTGCAGGAGAAGGTGTACCAGGAGCTGACGCCGGCACAACGACCACAGCTTCGGATGGCACTAACCCCTCTGCGTCTACATTACAAGGCGCAGATGCAACTGGGACACCCGCGGAGGGAGATGAAGATGACGGCGACGAAGGAGAGGGAGAGGAAGGGGAGGAAGGCGAAGAGGGAGATGATGACGATCGGGAGGAAGGCGAACTGTCCGACGGTGAAATTCCTGGTCCACCTACGAGTGTTCCTGGAACGGATGTGCCACCGCCCACAGACGGTGCCTTGGCATCTGACGTACCGATGCTTGATGCTGAACAGCCGCCACCCGTCAATGAAATTGCACATTCAGACTCCACCGCCATGCCGCCGCCACCAATTCCCTCACTAGCGACCCCTGCAGGGCTCGTAGAGCCAGCACCAACACCCGTCGAGACTACCAAGCTTTCTGTGCCAACTCTACCATCTCCGGAGACGATCGACGCATCTGACCTTCCTATACCTCACTCGACGGAGATCAATCCAGCTGACCGTCCAACTTTCCCACCAGAAGCTCAACAAAACGCACCGCCAGCTGTTCAGCCGAACGCCCAGTCAGATGCGCAGCCAGATACAAAAAATGCAACACCGCCAACAGAACCTACGACCATTCCTGGACTTGAATTACAAGCTGTAGCACAGACAACCTCTGCACCAGCAGACACAATACCGCATCAGCATGACAATGATGCGATCAATGCGTCTGAGCCAATCGTTCCTCTTACCGAAGCTGTCGCAACTGCTGCCATTGCAGCCAAGGATGATGCGGACTCCTATGAACCGCCAGTAGAAGCCAGCGCTCCTGAGGTAAAAGTCGCTGAAGCCACGACCGTAGAAGAGCCCAGTGCTGCGCCTGCAGCAGATCCTGTCCCAGTAGTCACTCCCGAAGTCGAAGCACAAGCAGGAGCAATCGACATTCCAGCACCAGAAGAAGGACTCGACATTCCACAGCCCAACACTGCAGTGGATGCTCCATCGACTGACATAGTGACCGACATCACGATCCCGGACGCCCCTCCCGCAGAGTCGGTGTCAGCCATTGCAGATCTGCCAGATGCTGCAGTAGCAGAGCAAGCCTTGCAGCCATTAGCCTCAGCTAAAGCTTCTGCAGAGACTATAGCGGAGCAACTCGCCGATACCCCGGCCGTAGAGCAGCCAGCAGCATTACGACCTGAGATCTCCGCCTCAGCAGTAGTGGAACAATTAGATGTCCCAGAGACACAAGTTGATACAGCACCTGCACCAACAGCAGCGCCAGAGCAGACACCGGCCATACCTGAGGTGGCGGAGCAGTCAAGTCAGCCTGAGCCACCAGCGGAGTCCTCGTGAGTCCCGCTCCGTCTGGACGTGGACTGCGGTTTCGACGAGGAGGGAGCTCAGTGACTTTTTGCGAACACACGGATCGCGATCGCTGCGGGGGGCGTATAAAGGCATTTCAATTAGTGCTAGGAAGACCAGAAGGATATGATCTTTGAGGGCGCAGATGACATGGATGGCGGCCGAGATGTAGGTTGGACAAAGGTCATGGGAAGTCAAACTTCGACGGTCTGTGGGATATGCACGCGATGTAACTGCTTATCTTGCTCGAACATCATTCTTCTGTCACTGCGCCATATCGAATTGCCCAAAGTGCATTTGTAGAACGATGGTGCATCTGGGAATTGGAAGTGGCAACGAGGGTGCGAACCACATATTGGGACCGATATTTTGCACATGAACAATGCTTTAAAGGTCTCGCAACAAGCACAGCATACTTGCACACCACATATTCTCTGACGCGGTTGTGTATTACATTCGCTGAGGGGGGTATACATCCAGTTCTAGTACAGCTATTTTTACATTCCCTCCTCATTGGCATACTCTTATGCTGGCTTAGAGGCAGGCTTTACTGGGCTCGTCTTGTCGATTGCGCCCTTCCAGTCGCTGATGTGGTCATTGATGACCTTCGCGGCGCCATCGATGCTGAAGTTTCGGCCAATGGCTTCGACAAAGTCTACATCAGGATCTGTGCTTGTCAGTTGCTGTTGCCGAGTATACCAGGGTGAAATGAACTTACCCATCAGGAAGAAGTAGATACTGTGGTCGACCAGGTAATCCTGCCCCGGCTTGACCTCCGACGGTGTGCTGAAATATACCCTGTAATTCTTACACGTCTGCTTAATCTCATCATACGACCCCGTCAACCCCACGATATCATCATGAAAGTCCCTCAAATACGACTCCACAATCTGCGGCGTATCGCGCGCTGGATCACACGTGATGAACACCGGCCT